ATAACTGCCCATTTGATTTTCCACATCTATTAAAATTTGACTTATATAGGAAGGTGCTCCTATATTGGTTGCATATATATTTATTATTATATCTTCCTCTTGCAGTTTTCCCTCAACAAGTATGTAGTGACCTTCTTTATCTCTTTGGATGATTTTTGATTTGAAGTTGATTATTGTCAGCAACCAAGATAGCTACCTCTACTTTTTTCTGATTTCCCATGGCATGGGGGATTTTTTTTTTCCACCCTCTGACTTTTAGTTTGTGAATTTCCTTTTGAGTTAAATGTGTTTCTTGGATGCAGTGTGTTCTTAGATTTTGTTTCTTAATCCACTCTGCCAGTCTGTTCTTTCAATTTATGAATTGAGGCCTTTTACATTGATGGTTATAACTGAAACATACTGGGTTTTCTCTGTCCTGTTATTTTCCTGGTATAGGTTCTATAATTTTTCCCTCTTTTTATTTACTTCTCTGTTTGGAGGTTCCTGTTTTCTTAAAATTGTGATCCCTTCTCTTTCTAAAATATCTATCAGTACTCTTTGTGGGTTGGTGGTCATGAATTTCTTTGTTCTTTGTCATGAAAGGATCTTATTTCCCCATTGCATTTGATAGTTTTGCAGGGTACATTAATCTGGGTTGTAAGTTATTTTCTTTGAGGACCTGAAATACTTCACTCCAAACTCATGATCTGATGGTTTGTGTTGAGAAATATGCCGTGATTCTGATGTGCTTTCCATTCTAGGTAATGTTTCTTCTCTCTAGCAGCTTTTATTTAATATTTTATTCTTTAGCTGAATTTCTGAGATCTTGATTATTATGTGTCTAGGTGTAGATTTATTGTGATTATTGCTTTGTGGAATTCTATATGTATCACTTACCTGTAGGTCAGATTCTTTACTCATGTTTGGAAATTTTTCTGCTAGTACTTCTGCAAATAGTCTTTTTACGTCATTTGTGCTGTCTCCCACTGCTTCACTGATACCAATTATTTATTTATTTATTTATTTATTTATTTATTTTGTATTTTAGGGAAGAGTCTACAGGGTGTTCCGGGTCTCACTACTAGATTAGACTTGTAGAAGGCCTGTTCACAGCCGTCCAAGAGCTGGGATTACAGGCACATACCACCACATCCAGTCTCAACTGCCATCTCAGCGTGTGCTGGGGGCAGGGCTGGCACAGCAGGCCAGGCCCCGTGCCTGCTTGCAGGTGCTTTCATCTGTTGAGCTATTTGGCTGGCCCAACACTTATTATTCTTATATTATTTTTCTTTGTGTGTCATCTTGTAGTTGCTGAATTATTATTTCCTGGTTCCTTCTTAGTTTTAAGCAATCTTTTATTTCACATTCATTAGTTACAATACTGCAGAGGTCTGAAAGTCCATTTTCAGTTTCATTCAAATGCTTTTGCCAGCTTTCAATGGAGTTGTTAATATCCTCAATACCTGTCTGAATCTATTTCATGCATTCTAATTCTTTCCTGTATTGGTCCTTCAGTGTTTCCATCACTTTTCTATTCTCCCCTATTTTTCTATCTATGTCTTCTTTAGCTGTGCTGAGCAATTCTTTCATGACTGTTGTCCTTTCTTTTTCAACTTGAGAGATTATGTCTGCTCCTATTTCTTCTATAGCCTGATGGACTTATTTCTTTACTTCAGTTGCTATCATTTCAGAAACTTCAAGTGTGTAATTACCAAGTTCTTGTATGTCCTTGTCTCCCGGGTTTGTTTTGGGATGGGCAGAGGGTGGAGCTTGCCTTTTTTCCCTGCATTTTAGCATTTTTGAAGCTCCCAGTAATCACCCAGATGTAGTCCCACAGGCTGCCCAGAGTCCACCAAAGGTCTTTAATCGCACCAAGAAAGCTCTGTGCCTATGTGCACTGGGCCCACAGACTGCAGCTCTCTGAAACCAATACTCTTTAGGAGAGGGAGAAAGTGTGGCTCAAATGCCTCAGAGACAGCCAAGGCATTCACATGACTGGATTAGAGGAGAAATGACAGAATGTGAGACAGGCAGGAGGAATACAAAGGGAGGAGGACTGCAATGGAAACAGGAGCACAAAGATGTTCTTTAGGAAGAAAAAAGAGTAATGATTGAAATAAGAAATTAATTATTAGAGGAATTAGAGTATTTTTACCTCAAAGGCATCATACTTCACATTAAAGAAATGTAAGAGGAATATAATTAGCCTATGTTATATTGAGAAAACATTATAACCTTAATAGAGCCACAAAGAAACATATCTGATGGATAGCTATTAAATTATCTCATTATTTCTCCATATTAAGATAAATTCCTCACTTGTTTTGTTCTTATAAACCTACACTATAGCCTATAAACTCTAACTAAAAGCTAGTTATATTTCCACATGCTCTCATGTTTTAAAAGTAAAAATCACAAAACATGCTAAATCATAATTATTAATTGCCCACAAAAACTCTAAATTCAGGCTGATTTCTTTCTTTTGAGATTTATTAAGAGTTTAAAATTAAAATACTTTTCATATTTACAAAGGCCATTTTGGTTTTAATTCATCTGAAGGTTCTCTTATTTCTAACTATGTACAGCATCAACCACACTGTGTCACAGATAATTATTCAACTCTAGATTTTTTACTAAGTTATATCTAAAAGAATGCCCAAATAACAAAAACTGCAGACTTATGATGACTTATCAATTCATTCTTAATCTCTATCTATTCCAAAAGTACTCCTTGAAAGCTTACTATTTGTGGAGCACTATGCTTAGTAATACAACAATCTTCAAAACAGCTTTATTAGCAACATGCTCTAACCAACTGAGCTGACAGGGGCAAAGCTATACATTTATACATACAAGAAGGGTAAGGCAATGACCTTGAGAACTATCAGCAGGTTGTTGAAACTAGCAGTTACTTGGTGGGATTCTCACCCTAACTATAAATTCTGATACCTGTGAACTGAGCGACTGCACTGAAGATAGCAATGTGTAATAGTGGGGTCATGTTTGGAATGCCTGTCATTCTGGTCTTCTAAACACGTACTGCTTGTCCTGACATACCAATTATGGCCAGACTGTATCACAAGTAAATGTTTGTTTGTTTTAAAGGATGCTCCATCTTATGCCTAAGATGTTTGATATTCAGACACAGTGAGGTTAAGCTCAACTGCATATGTTGTAGGGCAATAATATGCTTCTCTTCTGGAGGGGTAACAACCTAAATTTGCAGACCAAAAATTAGAGAAAAAAGAGGGCTGCAAGGACAGCCAACATTTTAGCCCTAGCCTTTCAAGGTCAGTGAGGACTCAGCACATAGGAGAACCTGTACTATAACATCATGAACTCAGTTGTGCCCCGAATTTTCTGATCAAGGAGATTATGGGGCCACAGAGGAAGTGATCGATGATGTAATGTATACCTAAAGAGAGTGACATGAAGAGAAAACATTCTCTCAGGTTTTCACAGAGAGCAAATTGGTCAAGCAATGGCCAGGACTCATCCACATGGCTGACACTGAAAAATGATCTATAAAGTGCAGTACAGGGTTTTGGGATAAGTCCTGAGGGGACTTGACTGACCGTGTCAGACATAAAAGTTACATTTTTTGTTATATAGGTCTTCTTTATCATGGTCTTAACCATCCAGCAGAAAAGTGTAGAAACGAGGTATGAAAAGTAAAGCCATGTTAATATGCTGAGCTGTGGAAGGCTCAAATCATCACATTAGAACTTGGCAGTCCTCTGGATAACGCACTACTATTGTGGAGTACTGGACTATAATGGAATATTTTGCTGAATTCATGCACCTACAATATTTGGATGGCAATGGAATACCCATCTCTGACAAAACTGAACAAAAAAAAGGTGACATAAATGAAGGACAATTTTGGATCTGCATATACAAAATAGGATAGATATATAGCTACTTTCTCGTAATTCAATAAGAAGAAAGATCTGTACTAATAGTGTTTGGACAGGATATCATGTCTGCATCTTGTGCTATGAATGACTACTAGAAAGACAACAATATGCAATGTATTAATTGTTGTAATTCTCCTATCAACCTGTTTTGAAGCTGTCAAATGGCATTTTTTCCTCAATAAAATTAATTTAAAGAAAAAAGAAGGAAAGGAGGTAAGTGAGGGAGGCACAGAAAGGAGGAAGAGGAGAAGAGAAGGAGAGCTGAAGGGAGACTAACAGTTTTCTTCCCTCCTCTATTCATTGTTATTTTTATTTTATAGAAGAGTAAGGAAAGTAATAGGGTAGAAAGAATGAAAACTTCTTGTTTATTACTAACATTCTTTTTGCCAAATGCTTTGAAGTATCCCATTTAATTATAGCAAACACTGTTTCCTTTTGCATATGTGTAAACGGAGAAATCAAGGAATGCTGAAAACTTGTCCAAGATCACTTGAGTTTTGTGAATAGATAAGCTTGTGAATAAACCAGAGCATGTCTGATTCATAAAAAAAAAAACAGCCTTATTATCCTTAAATTTATACTCCATTGAGAGGCGAGATACAAAGAAATATAAAAATATATAAGTAACTATGAGTGGGATGGGAGAATTGAGGTTTATAAATACAGGGTGGCTGGGGAGAATTCTGGGGATGGGATGACATTTGAGAAGAAATACGAACAAACTGTCAAAACAAGCCACATGGGTACTTGGGAATTGTTCTAAGGGAGAGAAACCAATATTCTTTAGGAGAGTGAGGAAGTGTGTCTTAACTGCTTAAGAGACAGCCAGGACATCCACGTGACCGGATTAGAGGAGAAAATGACAGAATAACAGAATGTGAGACAGGCAGGAGCAGCACAAAGGGACATTACAGAGTAAATTTTAGCGAGTGAATTGGAAAAGCACTCTTACTTTACAACTTCCATCAGTTGTTATACCATATATTGACAACAGAAAACCTGTTTCACCCATACTCCCATCTTTTTCCATCACCAGTTATGCAATACATAAACTTAATATTCATGGATAAATTGCTATAAATCATACAGTAAAACAATACATACTCAGTCCGTATTTCTGGATCACTATGGCAGGAATGACACATGGCACTGAATCGAGATACGAAAAAGTCATAACGTCTGTGGTAGGACGGTGTATCTTCTTCAATGTTTGCAAATTTGACAAACTAAAAAACAAAAATAACATACCTCAACTTTTTGAAAATTTCGAACAAACTCAATTTACTTTGATTCTATGTTATACTAATAAGCAACACTCAAAAGAAAATAAAACATACAAAATTCTAAATGCTTTATATGTATACAAAAAAAGGAGTTTTTAAAACGATAAACTCTTAGAAAATCAAGTATATAGCATTAGCAGTATTGAATGTAATCCAGTTCCAATCTAGTTCCCTTTGAGTAAGGGAGCCCAGGCTCTTATGAGACACCTTAGTCTAAAACTCCTCTAAATTTCCTGCATTCTGGCAATGTTTCTTTATGTGATGAGCTTAAACTACTTTATACACTATTATTTCTTAATTGTGGGTAGAAAATATTCCTAGACAGTAAGGCACATGAGTGAGTAAAAATTATACAAAAAAGATGAGACAAGAAAATTAACATAAACAGAAGAAAACAAGACAAACTCAGAAAAAAATATTGAGATAATAAGAATTATTGATAGGCAGGTGATAAATGGGAGGTAGAATTATTCTACCTCTTTAGAGTTACATCTGTTGGAAAATTTAAATACCCTAATGTGACACAGACCTGGCCCTTACTATTCATTAACATAAATTTTCTTTACAACTTATCCAGCTTTCTCTTTTACTTGATGACTTACTACTTCTGCATACTAAATAGCTAAAAGAAACTACTGTTAGTTTAGTTATAAATTTAAACACCCACACATTTACCATACTCCCTACCCAGCAACTTCACAGACTGATGCTTTAATTGACCAAAGTATTACAATAATCAGAAGTACTAATTTTCTATTGTAAATAAAATTGAAATGAACATGGAAGATTTAAATTAATGATATTAAAAATTTTTAATTAATTTGTCTAAGCTAAGCCACTTATACTATATGACTTATACTATGTAGAAAAGGGCCACTGATATTATACCAGGTTCAGATTAAATGCCTGGCATTACCTGTTCTGTACCTACACTGTGCTGAGTATGTATGTATGTATGTATGTATGTATGTATGTATGTATTTAGGTACTGGGGATCAAACACAGGACCTTGTGCTTGCCTGGTATTACCTGTTCTGTACCTACACTGTGCTAAGTATTTATTTAGTTTGGTGCTGGGGATCAAACTCAGGACTGTGCTTGCCAGGCAGGTGCTTATACCACTGAGCTATTTTTCCAGCCCCTGTGCTGAGTATTTTTACATGAGTTCTTCTTTAATCATTCCAACAACCCTAAAAAGATGTCACTACCTCTGTTTTTAGACAGGAACAGTGATGCTTACATCCCTTGTCCTTAGTGACACAGGAACTAAATGATGAAAGTGGCCAAGACAGTTTACAGTATAGAGTTTTGAGTTCAATTCTCAAAATTCCTATTCTAGATTAATAATATGAATAGTTTCAGAAATTATACCAAATATGTATACTTTTCATAAAAAAATGAATGACATGAGTAATGCTTCAAAAATTTAAATGGAAAAGGATCTACATATACAATATGTTCTCTATTTTCTAATTAAAAAATTAAGTATTAAGGGACTACATCTGAATTTTGGAAATATAAGTGACTTTGATTTCAATTTATTATTTTATATTTGCTAGGATTTTCCAAATTTGCTGCAATAGAAAACAACAAAAATACACAGTAAAATATCCAATGTTCAAGATAACTTAATGAGAAATCTCCTTATCTCTTTTAATTGAAATTCACAAAATTAAAACTGGAGTGATCATTTACAGAAGCAGTTCCTATTGCACTTGGGCATACAGAAGATAATTTTAAAAAGGGCAGCTCTTCTCAGAGGAACTGCAAAAAGCCTATCTTTCTTCCCGATTCTCTGATTGGAAAAATTCTTTCAATTCCCCTAATTCTGAGAGCTCTTCGGCAAATCCAAAACCCATAAGGACTGTGACAGAATATTAATAAAAATAAAAGCACTACCATTATACATTTATCACATGTAGGAATGCAGAAAAATGAGACATGATACCATACAGACATTACGGAAAGACTTCTCAGGAAGACCTGGGTTTGGATTCTGGCTCTTACTAGCTAGACGTGTGACCTGTGAAATGGAGTGCAGAACTCAAGAGCTGCTGGGAGCTTCAGATAAGAACCAAACAGAGGTTAGCAAGGCTCCCTGCATATAATAGCCCATGTATAATAAAAAAAAAATATGTCCCACAATGGTACCTTGGTTCATAAACATAATTTATTTCTATGATTTTGGAAAAGGCCACTCTTGTGTTTTTGTGGGAATGATGGGCATAGCTGTGGTTGTCACCTGATGCAGAGTTTGAAAACAAAAGCAAAATTTTATCAAATGCTTGATTGTGAACCAAATCATTTATGAACAAAAATGTTTGTGACCTCAGGTACACCTGTATTCTTTTGCCACCTAAAATGTGAGGAATTGGATGTGTTTCAAAGGTACAACACAGGCAGCAGCAATGCAGCCCTTTGGATGCAGGGTTTCTCACCATGAGGATTACCAAGCTCTAGGGCCTGCTAACACCTTTGTTACGGGGACCTTCCTGTGTGCTATAAAGGGGCAGCAGCAACCTCTGCCTCCTGAACACCACCAGAACATTCCTACTAGAAAACTAAAAGATACCATCATCAGGCACTACCAAATACCCAGAGAGAGGCGGGAGAGAAAAATGGCCCCTGGCTGAGAATCAGTGTGCCCACATAGTGTGTTCTTTCAATGACTGGTCTTCAGAGATGACTGTCAACATACTTGAGGAAAATGGTTAAAAATTAGGAAGGAAGCTTATAAAAAACTAAGTGCATGAAGGGACTATAAGAGGGAGAGCAAAAGGAGAGAAATCTACGACTTCTCTCAGTCATAATCTATAAAAATGAGAGTATTTATATTGCATATAATGCCAACTCTGGCATAAGACTTAAGACTGAATCCTGCTGTTGTATACAGCACTACTGCACAATCACTATGTACTATTATTAACAGAAACTATTATAGGTTGTGCATCCCTCATCCAAACTGCTTGGAATCAGAAGTTTGAAATTTCAAAGTCTTTCAGGTTTTGGAATATTTGCATGGACTTTACCAGTGGATCATCTCTTATCTGAAAATCAATCACAGTGTTCAAAAAATTTAGATTTTCAGGCATTTTAGATTAAAGGAGGTCAGCCTGTATTTAATTGTATTAATATTACTTCACATTTTTCTTCCATGAATAATTATATATTAAAGCATATTATCCTCCATACTTTTCTAAGTTTGGTTTTTGTTTTTTGTGGTGCCAGGGATCAAACTTGGGACCTTGCACTTGCCAGGCAGGCACTTAGGCTGATGAGTTATCTCCCCAGGGCCCCTTCTGCAGTTTTCTACATTTAAAATAGTACATAAAAAAAGAGGTAAAAATAAAAAGTATCTTGCACCGTTTTTGAAAAGAAGAAAAAGCTAAATAAAGTGCATCTGTGAACGTCCTACTGTGTTGGCACAGGCACAAGAGGCCAATGATGAACGACAATGTACGAATACCACTAAGAAATAGAAAAATATTAAAGCTATACGCTCCATGTCTAACAATTCAAGGCTCTCAATAAAACCCAATAGTTAAAATTTAGGCTTCCAAGAAATAAAGAAATAATGTTGCTCAAAACCATACAGTATTTAATTCTTTAGCATATTCATTTAAAAGTAGATTCCTGGGGATCTTGGTCTTTTGCCCTAATACTTCAGTACAGTGATGGTTTTTAAATCTTTTTAATTTATTTATTTGGTACAGGCTCTCGCTACGCAGCTCAGACCCAGTGATCCTCCACCACGCCTGGGCTGCGAGGCCAGCTGGGTGCGAGGTCGGCACAGCATGCGGTACCAGGGATGGAAGCCAGATCCTGGTACTGCCAGGCAGGCTCTTAGACCTCCCCAGACCTCCAGTAAAGTGATCGTAATGGCACTTCTGGCTATAAGCAAAAAAATTCTTACAGTGTATATTAACCTCATGACCCAGTTATTAAACCATTTCTCCTACATTTTCCTTACTGAATTGTAAATGAAATGAGAGGCCTGAAGTAACTATCTTTCCTGAAAGTAAACTAATCACTTAGTCTACTTAACTAATTGTATCTTAAAATACACAGTATTTTCCCTTGAAATAAATAGATAAAGTTGTATTAAGGGTTTCTGAATGAAAATTTTATTTATGCACTCTTACTTTTATTTAGTAACAATCCTGTACTAGCAGTAATAATGACGAAGAATGCCATGCACTGTCCCAAGAGTTTTTTACACATTAAGTTGTATCACAAACAATCTTCTAAGTTTAGAACTAATGATATCCTGATTTCACAGATAAAAATTTGAAGGGATAAAACAGTTAAAAACCTTGCTGAAGACACACCGAGAGTGGTATAGGCATAATTCAAAGCAAGGCAGCTGGACTCTGGGATCATGGTGGCAGCGTATTCTTCCTGTCCCCATACCAGAAAACAATCATCCACAAATAACAGTAGATGATACATGATTCTATTGGTTGGTGATAAAAACATGGATGGGAATAAACAATATTAATACACGTTGAATGTCTTACAGCTTCCTAACAAGGACTAAAAGTTATAAAGTAAAACTAAAGACAAGAAACATACACTGGGGCCGTGGAGATAGCTCAGTAGAATAAGCGCTTGCCTGGCAAGCGCAAGGCCCCGAGTTCAATTCCTGGTACCACAAAAAAAAAAAAAAAAAAAAGAAAGAAAAGAAACATACATTGCAACTGTGTTTTAATTTTGTTTCTCTGTTATACTCACATAAAGAAATACTCTAAGAAGGAATAAAGATGGAAAATACTATTTTGATAGCTAACTGCTGCAGAAAAAAATATTTTCAACAGTAAGAGAACATCTGAATAGCTACATGTGAACTGTGGATGAAAGTGAGCCCTGACTCATCATACACAGAAAATAACTCAAACCAGATACTAGACCTATCCTGTAAAATGCTTAGAAGAAATCACTGATAAAATTTTGTGATCTTGACTTATGCAATGGTTTCTTAGATATGAGACTAATGCACAAAAAAAAAGTGGCCAAAGAAAAAACAGATCAATTGGACATCATCAAAATTAAAGCCTTCGGGCTGGGGAGATGGCTCAGTGGAATAAGCACTTCCTTGGCAAGTGCAAGGGCCTGAGTTCAATCCCCGGTTCCTCAAAAAAAAAAAAAAAAAAAAAAAAAAAAAAATTAAAGCCTTCAAAATTTAAAGTGAATAATAGCACACCATCAAGAAAGTAGAGACGCACCACAGAAGTGAGGAAAGTACCTGCAATCATAAATCTGATACAGGACTTTTATAAAGAATGTAAAGAATATCTATAGCTCTGCAGTAAGAAGAGAAAGCAAATTAAAACATAAACAACCATTTGAACAGGCATTTATCCAAGGAAGACATACAGGTAGTCAAAGAGGTTCAGAATCAGTAGTTACTAAAGAAACAAAAATCCAAACTACTATGAACTACCACTTTAGAGCTTTTAATACGGTTATAATAAAAAAGACAGATAATGTCACATTGTCATGGTGACAATGTGAAGAATTTGAAACATGCGCACACTGCTAGTGGAATATAAAATAACGCAACCATTTTGAAGAGTTTGAAACACCAAGTCTTGGCAATTATACTCCTAAGTATGTGCCCAATTCAGTAAAAAATTTATGAGTACACATATACTTCTAAATAACTGTTTATATCAGCTTAGGGTCGGTGAAATAGCTCAGCAGATTAAGCTCCTGCTCAGGCAAGCTCAGGGACCAGAGTTCCATCCCAGACACCACAGGCAGCACCAGCCCTGCCCCAGGTGTGCTGAGCCAGCTACCGAGTCCAGGTGTGGTGGCATATGCCTGTAATCCCAAAACAGGAGCATTACTACAAGTCTGAGCTGCATAGTGAAACCCTGCAAGAAATACATTTCAAAAAAAAGTTTGTATCAGCCAAAAAAGTGCAAACAATCCTAATGTCCAGAAACTGACGAACAAATATAAATATAGTGTACCTACACAATGGTATACTAGTTAGTCACAGAAAGGAATGGAGCACTGATACAATCTGCACGAGTTTTTAAAACATTAGGTTCGGTGGAAGAAGTCACACACAGTCGGTTACATAATAGATGAATCCATTTGTCTGAAATATCCAGAATAGGAAAATTGATTAGCATGAAAAAGTAGATTAGTGGTTTTCAGGAGTAGTGGAGGGAAGAAATGGGGACAAAACCAATACACAACTCCACTAATATCAAAAAGAAATCACTGAGTTATGTACTTTATAAGGATAAAATGCATAAGGTGTTAGTTCTGAAAGGGCTTGAAACTCAAAGGAAGAATAAAATACAAAGTTAGCAGACATAGCAAGTGACCCAGAGAAAATAAAAATGAGAGGTATGAATTCACTAATAGGAAGGATTCCATTACGGTTGGTGATCACAGATATTTATAAAGAGAAACCGAAACCATTAAGCAAAGTATTGTAATCATTTTTATCTGTATTAGTTGTCCAAATGCACTGAAGCAGGAACTGGCATTTACCAAGTAAAAACATTGTAAGACATTAACTCTAGATATGCTAATTAAGCCTAATAAGGAATAATTTTACTCACAGAATTTGTTCCAAGAACTTGAAGTTTTGGTTCCCCCGATTCCAGCAGCTTGGCCACCATATGCAGAAAGCTTTCCACAAACGGCTTGATGCTCTGAGAGTGGCAGGCCATAAGCAGCTGGTCCAGGGCCTCCATGGCAATCAGGACATACCTAGACGTTGAAGAAAAGTGCATTAAAGCATTCGTGTTCTCTTAATTCTCCAACATACTTCTCAGTGAAATAATTAAAATAAGTTTATTTAAATGCACAGAACACAGAAATGCAAATTTAGTAGCCTCTAAGTAAAACCAATTCTCATATAACACATATGTCTTAGTAAATTATAAATAATACACATATTGAAGTAAACAAAAGCTATCCCATTTTCTCCTTTGCAAGACAACTACTTCAGCTCTACATTAGCATTATCTCTGTGTAGTTTTTCCGTGCAAACATGGACATCACCGAGACTTTTAAATGTGTTTATTTGTACATGAGCCAATATAATTATTGAAACAATGCTACTAAATCACCACCACGATCAATTTGTATTTCTACATGTAATTTGGTAAAACAGCACCAACAATAGAATATTATAAAGTTTTATGAATTTTACTATACAACTGGATGATTTTAAAACTTGTAGGCATTAGAAATTTCAGAGTCTCCAGATTACTTTTATTAAACTGAAAAACTATACTGAAATGGCATATGTGGTACCAATGTGGAGGCACAGAAAGCCAGCACATCCCGTGGAGAATGATACTGTCGGGAACTATGAGCGCAAACTGACAGCGCTGAAAACTTATCCAAACTGCAAAGTTATTCCTTCTCAAGCATAAAGAAGGGGTTCAGAAGGCAGCCGCTCGTGTCCAGGCAACACAGACAGCACAGCTGACCCGCCGGCATCCACTTGATCTGCATGCTAGCGCTGCTTTCTTACCCTTCTGATACATGAAACTGAACCTGTGCAAAAAATCAGCTGTTTACCAGGAACTGTTTTCAATTCAGAGATTTATTTTTAAATGATAGTATCACATGGATTTTTTTCTTTTTGGTGTCTTTTTGAGACAGGATTTCAGGATGCAGTCCAGGCCAGCTTTGAACTCACTCTGTAACTGAAGCTGGCCTTGAACTTGAAGCAATCCTCCTGCCTCCGCCTCTCAAGCCCTGGGATTACAGGTGTGGGCCATCATACCCAGCTATAGTGTCGCAGCAACAGACTAAAGAAAGCTGACCTCTATTATGCTTCATTATAGTAAATCCAAAAATTAATAGATGCCAAAGAAAATATGTAACTGTTAAATAACGCGAGAATATTCACAAAGCTTGACCACCAGGAAATACGAGCTGCAGCATCTATATTGATTTGAATGTTTCTTCTTACAGTGCTGTAATGTTTTATCCTCTATAGATTGCTTCTGTCTGTCTAGATGGCAGAACAATTTATAGGATGATTTAAGAAGATTTTTCCAAACAGGCTAGAGTAGCAACAGTTAGCTTCCTTACCCAGAACGATGTCTGACAACATCCCTGCTCAGCCTTTCTGCCAAGTAAGAACCTATTCGGTCCAGCTTCTCTGGAGCAGATACTGCATAAAATGTCAATTTTTCCATATCTGCTTTAACAAGGCCATCCTAAAAATAACAACAAGGTAAATTAGGTTATCTACATTGTCTTACCTAGAGCATTCTTTACATCCCTTTTTTTTCAGACTGAAGCTTAATCAAAAGTTATGTTGAAATTTTCTGAATATAACTTCCTTATGTCATTATTCATCATTATGGGATTGGACCTTTAAAAAAGTTAAAGAAATTCCCCATTTAGGAGAAGCTTTTAAATGGTCCCTTACAAACAATGAAATCACACTCTTACTTCCTTCCGTAAAGCTGTACCTTACCTGCAGCACGCTGGAATGCAAGGGATCTTATTGAAAAGATCTCACACTGAACTTGCCTCAATTTAAAAATTTTAGGGCGGCTGGCCTGATAGCTTAGCAGATTAAAGCACCTGCTTAGGCAAAGCAGAGCGGCCAGGGTTTGACCCCTGCCATCCGGTGCCAGCCCTGCCCCCAGGGCACGCTGAGATGGTGACTGAGACTGGGCATGGTGGTACACGCCTGCAATCCCAGCGCTCAGGAGGCTGAAAATAGGAGACCCACTACGAGTGTGATCTATGTAGTGAGACCCTGTAAACCCTAAATACAGAAAAGTTAATTTAAAAAATACAAATTTTAATATATTAAGTCCATACTCTTTAAAATAGTGAAGATATTACTTTTTAAATGCTTCAGAACTTGCTAATATTATTATAAAGTTTTGCTGTAATTATGGATAAGAAAGTACTAAGAATTGTATCCCTCCATACTCAGAGAAGGAGTTTTGTAAAAGAACAGGAAAAACAACATATGCCTGACACAGGCTTAGAAAGCCACCGTGGACGTGTCCTAGTGATGCCAAGCCACATGTCAGACACTGCGACAAGCACTAGTGAAGCAACCGTCAGCACAGAGCTGTACTAATCGACTAGGTTCTCAGCAGACGCTTGTGAGACGGGTACTACTTATCATTTCCATAATTCAGACACACCTGTCCGAGATCACATACCTCGAAAGGAAGAGAAATCACTTACCTTCCCCCATCATTAGGACAATCTTTGACGGCAGGAACTATGACATGTACAGTTCGCTATCTAAGCACCTACTACCTAAAACATCTTGTATACATCATTATATTTGTGTTTGTTTTAATAAATTTAATAGTAAATATGGCAACAGAATGATTGCTATATGAATGCAGAGTTCATCAAGGTATTTTTAATTAATCTATTTTACACATTTCTATTTATATAATT